TCTTTTCCAACCGAGCGATTCTGTGATTAGCTACAGACAAAACTTCAAGCACCTACGTTCACCAGCAACAATAAAAGCTTCCCCTTCAGGACTTTCTGCTCACACAGGGAGCAGAAATACCACTCAGGCAAATGCATGTTAAAAACAATGCATCTAGCAGACGCCAGTAGAACACCAGTCAGACATCAGCAATGACAAACTGATGGTTGAAGGCTCAACAACTACACCAACTTCCATGGTGCTGCAAGTCAGAAGCACACACCTTTCATGTTTTGGTAAAGGCAAGTTTACTAGAAACTATCCTCGATTCATTCGTGCTGATTTGAAGCAACAAAATCTTAGTTAAGTATAAAACTTTTTTTGTAGGATAGGATGATATTTTTGTGCACTAAAATAAGAAAAAAATATACCTATATGTAAATTTGACTTGAATTCCACATTGTGATTTCTTACTGCCATTTCCTGTGCTTCTAACAGAACCTGTAACAAAAGGAAAAGAAATGGAAATACTGAGTAGGAATTTAAGCAATGCTATTTCTTATCTCTAGATAAACTTGCAATTTCTTCCATGTTAAGTCAGATACAGAGTAAGTATTCTACAGAGATCAAAATTTTTAAGAGACAAAAGATGTAAGTATGCTCTTTGCATACAGCCTGAAAAAGCTGCAGGACAATTTTTACTACATTTTTTGAGAGCAAAGGGAGTGGAAAAGATGGTTCCCACCAGCATTTGTCAGCTTTCCATCCATGGACCTTTGTCTAATTAGACATAACACTAGAAACAAATTCCAAGGTGGGCAAAATGAACTTAGGCCATTCGATATTTTCAGCTAATACAGGATACTACTCCTTCGTCATTATTATGACAGAAATCAATGCTTCAGACAAGAAAATGAGTACTTTGAGACTCCGAGTAACTACAGCATATGAAAAGCTTTTATGCCTTTAGAGATCTCAGTCCTTTCCCTGATATCCTTCATCTCTAACAATTTTAAGAACCAAGGCACATCAATGTGGCAGTTGTTAGCTACAAGCATTCAGCATTTTTTAACATGAACTTAAAACCAAGCATTGTGAGAGACCGTACCCACATGTAATTCATTATCAGCACAAGTTAAAACAGCCAGCACAAGTGACCTCTACATATTCCTAAGTTACACGCCTGCTACAAAAATGAGTTGTTTGAACATGCTCCTAATAGGCCTAATAGGAAGAGTAAAACATCTCCAAACTTTGGGTGACAGTGATTGATTTTAAAGTTTTCTTGAAACTAGGAGTGTAAAAGAATACTGCTACGTACCTCTCTGATCACCTTTGCTCCTTTTTTATCATTAAATGCCAACTGAGCAAGAGCCTGATCAATGGACATTCCTTGTATCTGCAATCAAAATCAAAACATCAGCAATTACAAATACTTCCCTTGTCTTAGTCAGACGACAGCATTTAAATTAATTTGCCATTAAAAAGAACAAATCAAAAGACTTTTAATTACCATTTCTTCAATGGAATATCTTACATACATAACTTGTGAGCTAAATGCTGAATAAATCTTGATAAAACGTTCAATTTTTTTTTCTTCTTAAAAACAGCCCCTTAGTATCCTTCAAAGTTCCCCTGTCATCCACTTCAAGGCAGAAACACAAAAATTCATCTACCATGTATATAATCTGTATATGATCCTGGGTACACATTTGAAAGCACACTAGGATACAGCAGCTAAACCAGACCACAAACAACTGCTCACTTGCACAGATGCACGCTCTTC